GGCTATGGAGCCTCTTTTCCCTCATTTGCTTGTCTTTCCATCTGGGACTCCTGGAAAAAAATGGGTTTGAGTGACAGCCTTACATGGTCATGTAGTTTCCATGAACCGGTCTGTCCCAAGCAGGACTGTCAACTTCTGAGGATCCTGGTGGAGAATCAAGGACGAGTCAATTTTTCATGGAAAATGCAAAGTCAGCGGAAAGGTGGGCTCTGGGCCTGAGGAACAGCCTGCAGCTTCTCCTCCCACTTGGAACGAGGGTTGGGGCTGTGGCGGGCTTGGGAGGAAAGAACTGAGCCCTTTGGCAGTGGCGTTCCTAGGTCCTAGGACAAATGATGTGGACTGCCTCCCTCTCCCTGTCCCACCTTCTCTGGGTCTCCAGGTCAGGAAAGGAGAGTAGCTATGTTGGGTGCTGGCTTGTCCTGGAGCAGGGCCCAGTCTCCCTTTGGGAATTTCAGGGAAAGTTCCCATTCTAAGTGGAGAGCTTTCTTGGTTGTGGGGAAACATAAAACAAGAAATCTTCAGTCACAGCAGGTCAGGCAAGCATTTGCTCCCCTGGCTGAGCCCTTGTCACAGGCGTACGCATGTCTGCATTTCTTTGTACCAGATACTGGAGAGTATCAGTCCTGCTCATCTCTTCCCTGCCTCTCACCTGCAGGAATAACGGGACATGTGAGCGTCGATAATGTTTTCCTGGACAGTTTCACCATCTATTCTCTGGAGATGAAAATGAGCTTCTTTGAGAGGTAGGCTCCTGCCTACCCCTACTGGACACTTAGAATGATCGGGGAACTCAGAGATTTGAGACTCTTCACTGGGCAGGTAAAGAGTCAGAGGACTGAAGTGATTTACTGAAGGCTGTCAGGTGCTTTGGGTCAGGACTAGAACCCTGGAACAAGCCTTCTGCTTCCAGTTTTAATACCTCGGTCTAATACACCTCACTGAAACCGAGCCCCAGTCCCTGGGAGGGACACCTGGCGTCGGGGAGCGCGGGCCTAGAGCTGTGACGGGCTTTCCTCCCCTCGCGGGTGGCTCTTCGCAGGCTCCGCTCTGCCACCTGGAGGCCTGTCCCAGGGAGCTATCAGGGCCCTGCCTTCTACCGCGGTGTCCTGAGGGCTGGCTCTTCTCCCAAGGACACCTTCCTGAACCTGCCGGTAAGTGAGCCGCCTCATCTGCTCTGGTGTTCCAAATACCTATTATTACTATTCTTTATAAGTCCCAAAGCAAAGGCATGCTGTCTGTGACAGGAATGCTTCCCTTTCATTTCCTTCTCTTCCTCACTTCCAACCAGGCCTCCCGACATTTCCGTCTTCCTATCTCATCTTCGTTTAGAAAATGACACATCAAAGCACAACGGAAACTTTGAACAGTGACAGGATAAGCAAACGGTGATGGTTCTCTTTCAAACCCACCCGTTCCAGCTTGTCTCTGCTTCTCAGAGCTGAACACACCAGCAGCTGGCGTATTTTTCTGTCTAACTTTGCCTGAACACACACACGCAATTATGCTCTACACTAATGACGTCTTTCCCTAAGTTATATTCTGCCACTTGCTTTTTTGGTTGGTGGGGGGAGGTTTTCACCTAGTATATCTTTTTATGTATAAACACATAGACAACATGTATGCACAAAATATGAATGCGGAGATCAACAAATTATCACAAAGCGAACACCAGATAATTAGCACAGACATAAAAAGCAAACACTGTTAGCACCCCTCCCAGTTACTGTCCCCCTTCTCTCCAGAGGTAATTAGTACCTTGACTTCTCACACTCCAGTTCAGCATTTCCTATTTTGACTTCACGTACACTGAATCATGCAGCATGCATTCTTTTTTAAAATGGCCTCTTTGGTTCATCACTGTTTGTGAGATCCAGCCATTTACTGATGCTGCAGTGATGTGTTCATTTTCACTGTTGTATAGGATTCTTTTGAAAATACACCATAATTTATTTAACCGTCTTACTGTTCATGGGCATTTGGATGATTTCCAGTGTTTGGCTACTATAAATAATTATAATATTCATAATATTTAATTCTTTTTTTGTTTATGTTCATGACGGAGATTTGTCGGATTTTGGCACCAAGGTTTAGGGCCCTCATAACTAGCCTTTCTGTAAGGCTAATTATTTCTTAAACATTTGGTAGATTTCATTAGTGAAGCCATTGAGAGCTGGCAGTTTCTTCGTGGGCAAGTTTGTGACTGTGGATTCAATTCTTTCAATATTAAATTACTATTCAGATTTTCTGTTTCTTTTAAAGTTCGCTTTGATAAAATGTATTTTTCTGGGAATTTTCCCATTTCATCTAAATTTGTAAATATATTGCCTTTAAATTTTTTGTTTGTGATGTCTAGATCATCATTCCCTTTTTCATTTCTCTTATAGGTTATTGGTGCATTTCTTTTTTTCTTGATATGTCTCACCAGAACATTATAAATTTTATTAGTCTTTCAAAGAACCAGTGTTTGGCTGTACTCTTTCTATATTATGCATTTCTTTTCTGTTTCTTTAATTAATGACATTATCTTTCTTAGTGTGTTTATTCGACTTTTTATTTTAGGGTAATTTGCTTTATTTTTTATAATTTCTTGAGATACATACTTAGATAACTATTTT